TTCTTCTTCTTCTTCTTCTTCTTCTGTAAGATGTTAGTTAATTCAAGATATGTCTGCTGAATTAATTACTGATTGATTGGGAAAAGGAGGCATGTTTTTCCAATGCTCAAGAAACTGTACTCCTTCCTAGTAAATTTCTGAGTACAGTTGAAGTGCTGATACATCTTGGGACTCAGGGGCCCAAAAGAGTATCTGCTCATACCTGGAATACCTGTGACAATCTTACTTTCCTCCAAGTCTCCCATCTGAGCTAGGAAGAGTAGCAACTGAGGAAAGAGCTTTTTCAGTAGTGGCACTCCTTATGCAGAATTTCCTTTCCCGGTCTCCCTTTTTAAGGTCTTACAGCCAAGTAAAGACTACTACTGCTTTCTTCTATATCTTGAGTTCTGAGCTTTGTTGTAATTGGCTATTTTAATCACTTAGGGCTTAGGCAAAGATCCTATTCAACTTTCTTGAAGTTTACATAGTTACATTGGATCAGTGTTGCACAAGAGGCATTGCAAGCACACAAATCCCCATTACACTACTACCCTATTGTAGAATATTAAGGATTCTATTAATTGACCTCTAAGGGAAAAAAACCAAAAATTTGCTTAAACTTCTGCAAATGGAGTGACTTCTTCCACTAATATACTGCCCTTCTATGGGACTGAGAAAGCACAACACTTGTGAAACAAGAATTTATTTGTTTGTTTAGATGCCACTTTTCTCCTCCTAGGAAATCCAAGGCAGCTCAGAGAAGATAAAGCAACAGATTTTAAAACATTGTATAAATATTACATTTTAAAAACACTTATTAAGCTTTAACAACAAATTTAAACATTTTGAAAAACCAGCACTCCTGAGGTAACTTGCTGCTTAAAAGCCTGCCTAAGGAAAGTCTTTGCTTGACCACAGAAGGAGAAGAGGGAGAGGGCCAACCTACCTTATCAGGGCGGTGCATTCCAAAGCCTAGGAGCAGCCACTGAGAAGGCCCTGTCTTGTGTCCTCACCAAAAGAGCTTGGGAAAGTGGTTCATTCAAGAGAATTCTTGAAAGCTGAGAAGGCTCATATGGAGTGATACAATCCTTCAAACAGTTATGAGTGTAATGATTTTTCCCTAGTGAATCTTTATCTTCTTCATAAACCATTCTGGAATTGTTTAGCTTAAGGGTGGGTGGTATTACATGTATGAAATAATAAGATGAAGATATTGGAAGCCAGTGTGTGATATTAGAAGAAAAGTTAGTTGTTTAGTTATAGCAGCCTTCCTTTTTCTAAGCCATGTTCAGTTTTGTTGTATCACCCTTAGTGGGATTCAAGCATAAAAGAAAAACATATAAAAGAAAAGCTGTGTTTACTGGGGAAATTGTTCACATTTACAAGTGGATTGTTTTGATGCAAAATTGTTTCTGATGCAAAATACTCAGGACTTTTACCGTATTTTTTGCTCCATAAGACACACTGGACCTTAAGACGCACATAATTTTTAGAGGAGGAAAACAGGGAAAATATATTCTGAACCAAATAGTGTAATCAAATATTTAGTAAACTATAACAGAATAACATTTGAACCATGTAAAGTGAACAGCAGTCAACAGTGGCATTAAGAACCGTTACCACTGTCATTAACAAATGGAGAGACTTAAAACTTTGTGTACTCTAGTTTATGTACCATAAATTTGTGTACCATAAATTTAATTGAAGTACATATATACCATTATCAGCCGGTGATATGACCTATACCACGCTGCCTATATTTTACATTTCTTTTTATCCACCTCCCCATGCTTATAGAAATGTCTCAATGACAGATGAGATTGTTGTGCAACTCTGCCCATCTACAGCTCAAGCCTATATTAAGTTAGAAATGGTTTGTCTGATTTGGCACTGCATTGAGAAGTCCCTTTTAGTTGTGTGGAGGATAAATAGTGGAATTAAACTATTTAACAGCTGGTTTTCCTTACTTACTTTAGATTATGCAAAAGAACAACAACACAGAGCTTAACCCATTCACCAGCAGTAGCACATGCTCAGCATAAGACCAAATCTCGGTTTTCTGACATAATTGAACATTTATAAAATGCAAGGCACAACAGCCATGAAAAATGTTCTTGACGAGCCAAAAAAACTGAATACAAACTATAGTAGCTAAAATCAGGAAGCAGGTACTGTAATCCAGTTAGAATTCACGAGGCACAGTTAGTTTCCTTGCTGCAACACCCTTTGCAAATACATTCTCTATTAGATGCCCAGAACTAGTTGAAAAGTTTGCAAGTAGAATTCAAATTTCTCATAAGAATGCATTGAAAATTAATTAATGCATTCTTATGGGAAAAAAGGTCAGAAACTTTTTAAAAATTAAAAGAAAGTCACTTACCAGGTACTGTAGACTGAGCCTTGCTCTTCACAGTGCCTTGGTAGCCCCCAGAACAGTAAAAAAAAAAAAAACCCAGCTAAAAACCAGCAGGCACCCGGTAGCCATTTTGTGCTCTTCTCCGGTCCTGCCCCCTCCCCTCTCCCCACCTAACAGCTGATCGGCGCTGGTCTGAAAGGCTTCCCAGGCAAGCAGGTTTCAACTCAAACGGAGCACCTTTTCACCCAAGCACAGTTTAACCCAAAACAAGCAGCTTTTAAAGAAAAACAAGCAGATGTTTAAGGCAAGCATGAACGTTTCTACACAAGCAGGTTTCAACTCAAATGGAGCACCTTTTCACCCAAGCACGGTTTAACCCAAAACAAGCAGCTTTTAAACTAAATTTTACATTTTAAAATGACAATACCAGGCAGTCCCAGGTCTCTCTCCCAGCTCTCTAACTGCTTGTACTAGCAAGGAAGCAGACAGGCAGCCTCTTCACTAATTGAAAGTTTGAATTTCCCCGCTTTCCCTGCCTTCCCCGCATATTAGGTATGCTAATATCTGTGCACTGGAGGATTGTGGGAGGAACATTCCAGCCCCTGATGGGGGTCCTGTGGGGCACCCCAAAACACTGAGTAGGTCTCTTGTCCTCTTTCAGGACTGGGGCTGTGCAGCCCTGCTCTGATCAGGAGGTGCAACTGGGGTGTCACCATGCCTTTGGGGGATAGGGCACAGAAAGGGGAAGAATTTTCCGGGGCCATTCTAACTCATACCTGGCAGGGAAGATACCATTATTGTAAAAGTGGGTTTCCCAGGGTAAGGCTCATCTATTGCATTTTGGATGTGCTGACCCCTGTGATTTCCCCAAATGTGGGAAAATCAACTGCCTAAGTGCGGGACTGTGTTTATGGTTTCCCCTGATCTTTCTAGAATCACCCTTTCCCCTTTGGTCCTTGGCTGTTTTCACTGCCTGCTGCCATAGGCCTGTTGGCCTTGCTGGTTTTCCAGGTGGGCTGCAGGAAGCAGATTGTGGAAAGCTAACCGTGCAGAATGGTGAGGTCCAAACAGCAAGCAGTCTCTGGTGCCAGTTCAGAGGACTCCCAGCATGGCAGTGGGAGGCTTCTGGGTGGTGGTGGCTGAACCCTTTTTTTAACTGTATTTGCTCCATAAGATGCACATACTTTCTCCCCCTTTATTTGGGGGGGGGAGTGTGTCTTATGGAGCAAAAAATACGGAAGTTTCGTAAATACTTCTTTTGGAAGATGGTAGTATACATGTCCAGTATTTTTCCCACTCTAGAATTTTTCTATCCTGCCCTAGTGAAAAAATAATTACAGAGCTGTTGCTACCAATATGCTTAAGGTCAACCTGTTTTTAGTTCTTCCTGATCTCTGCTTGTCATGTGTGTAGCTAGACACCTGACAAGTAACTAAGATTATCACAAGTGATGCTTAAAATTGAACGCCTCCTTCATTTTGGTGTCTCCTTTATTCACAGTTGATTTTTTCCTTTTCTGAACCAGCTCCCAAAATCCAGAAGATAGCTGTTGCTGTTGTGATTACTAACACTGTGCATAGAATAAAGTTAGGTAATTAAAAAAAGAAGGAAGATATGTTCTTACCTCCAAAGAAGCTTAGAATCTAAATGCTTGATTTCAGATTATTGAATGCACATGTGACTACACTTTCTTCCCATATGAACAACATCCATGTACTCAGGTGTTGGAGTTAAGTGAAGAATGCCTTGATTGCTAATTCATTTTCTTTATTTTCCTTGTATGTTACTTATGTGGTGTATTCTTTCTTTGTTATATCCAAGACCAAACCCATTTTGAAGTATGCTAACTTTACAACACAATTCAGTACAGTGGTGCCCCGCTTGACGATTACCCCATTAGATGACGAAATCGCTTGACAATGAGTGTAGTTTTTGATGGCTCAATATCAGATCCCATTGACATCTGATTCCAAAAGATTTCCTGTGTGGAGAATTAGTGCAGCAAAATCACCCCAGAGGGAGACCCCCGCTGCAGTACAAGGATATCTGCAAGCGGGATCTGAAGGCCTTAAGAATGGACCTCAACAGATGGGAAAACCTGACATCTGAGTGTTCAGCCGGGAGGCAGGTGTTGCATCATGGCCTCTCCCAATTTGAAGAGACCCTTGTCCAGCAGGCCGAGGCAAAGAGGCAGTCCCGAAAGCAGCAAAATCAGGGAGCTGGACAGGGGACAGATTATATTTGTCTTCAGTGTGGAAAGGATAGTCACTTTCGAATTGGCCCTCTCAGCCACACTAGATGCTGTTCCAAGTCCTCCATACAGAGCATGTTACCATAGTCTCTCGAGACTGAAGGATGCCTAGTCAATCAATCACCCATGGGCAAAACACAAAACAACACATGAAAATGAAAAAAAGGGTGCTGAGGTTTTTATCCAGTGGAAGGCACTCCACTGATAGAAGGCACTGTCCCATTTTAGAAGAGGGAAGGAGAGAGTTTTCAGTGATGCCCCTCCCTCTTGCAGACCACTTCAGATCTGCTGTTAAGTGTGAGTTGGATAACTGAGCTTGGTGTGGTGGCAATGGAGAATGAGGACAGCACAGGACAAAGAAAATTGGGGTAGGGAAGCAGCCTAATTTCTCTTTCCACCAGCAAGATGATTCCAAAGCTCAAAAAATGTGGCTTGATAAAAGCTTCACTTTATCTTCCACAAACTATCTCTGACACTTAAATGTGCCTAAAGGGTGGTAATTTAAAACAATATGTCTCCATAGCTTCTGGCCACATCCTGATGAAAACATAGCCAGGACTATGTATTAATGGCCCATTCTAGTTTCACCAAAAGACTTAGTCTTCATATTGACTAATAATATGTCAGCTGGCATATTATTGCCATTGCTGGCAATAATATGCCAGCAATTGGTTTTGTCACTTCAGCTACAAGTCCTAACAGAATCTTAAGAATCAGAGAATCTTAGAATAATAGAGTATTTGTTTGAAAGGAAAGGAATATTGATTTTGCTGCTGTGTGAACTCTAAATTCATGATAGCAACCCACTTGGGTTTCAAAATATGTTTTTTTGAAAAGGCAGAGCAAAGTTAGAAATTTTGTAGATACTAGACTTTGTATTAAGGAAATAGAGAAGCAAATTAGGGTTGTATATTGCCTTGTAGCAGTTTAATTTTTTTTAATTCAAGGAGCAGTGTTAGAATAATGCAAACGTCTGTTTACCAAAGCAACCTTCTACACATGAAACTGAAGATTTTGAGAAGAATTTTCAAGTTTTATGCCAATCACTTCACAGTCCTAAGGGTTTTTCAATAGTCAGAAAGTAATGAGTAACTAACACTCTTTGCAACATATACTCACACAAATTACTTTGGGGGTGGAGGGTTACAACAACATCCATAACGAATTATCTTAAAAACAACTTTCCAAGTACCCAACAGAACAATAAACAACTGAACTGCTGAATAGCTCAATGAGAGATGGTGCGCCACCCCAAACCAATCCATTTCTTTCTGCATTTCCATTGCAATGGGCGGTAACATGGTCCAAGGGCAAGTGATTGTGGGAATTGTAGTCTAAACCTTGTGGAATGCTCCCACCACCCCCTTCTTGAAGCAAACTGTAATACTGAAGCCACTGACATGCTGCCCTTTTCACCTTCACTGAACAGATCCCCAGGGTTCAGGGAGAAAGAGGAGTGGCTGACTTTCCACAGTGTGTTTGCTTAAGTCTCTCTATGACAGTCCTGTGGATTTTGCCCTCAGCACTCTCAGTTCAGTTTGAGAGCTTTCTCTCCCAGAGGATTTACACATAAAGGTATATCACACCCATGTACACGGAAGACAGGGGAAGATCTCAAGTCCGACGTTCCTCAAAGCCATTTAAAGTAGGAGAGGTGAACTTTCTTCCCCCCTGACAGCCAGCCAGCCACAACAGGAAAACAAGAAAAGTCGGAAAAGTTGCCGAATTCCCACCCACCCAGGATGACCCGAGCTAGCCCCATCCCTAGAAATCCTGCCACACCACCCCAAACCAATCCATTTCTCTCTGCGCTTCCCTTGCAACAGGCGGGAAGGTGGGCAGGAAGGCAGGACGGACAAATGGGGCTCGTCTCTCCCTCCCCACCCGGGTGTGAGGCAGTGCTTCACCGGGCAAGGATGGGGACCCAAGAGACCTTTTCCTTCCACCTGATCCACACTCGGTGCTCCCCTAAGGGAGAAAGGGGAGTCGTGGCAGGCAGAAATAGCTGGATCATTTGGCGGCGGCGGCAGCACAGGATCCACTGTTAGCACCAAGGCTGCAGCCACCTTCACAGGTTTGGCTCGCTCCAGCGCCCCCTACCACCCCCTTCTGTTCCTTCGCCCCCATGCCGCCCCTTTTCGTTCTACCATCCCTCTGAAAAACAAAATCGCCCTCTGGGGGATGTTATCACCCACGTTAAGAACCACTGTGCTAGATGATGAATCTGCTACCTAGTTACCTCGGGAATGTTACAGGGACAAAAACTCCAGGATGTGGTAGAAAGTAAAAATCTGCATTTAAATGACCTGAGTGTCCAGAACTGGAAACATACAAATCTTGTGCTTTGGAGCCAGACTCACAAATTGTGCTGTCTTCCCCAAAATGATCTTCAGGGCAGCTTTAGAGTAATCAAAATATGGTTGAAATACTCACACATTCAAATATTGTGCCTTTTGAAGCTATGCTCTCTAAATTTAGCCAATTTACCACTCTACCTGTTTATCCATAGTAGAAGCACAGCAGAGTCCTTTAGGGTGTTTGTGGATCTGTAGTGATGGCAGCTTCTAAGCATTATTTGTTTTATAAATATTTTACTGGGAACCGTGAGCATAAGCTAAGAGGTAAAGTAGAACAACAACTTTACAGTATATCATCCTGCCTTCCCAGACAAATTAATAACATAATATTTTCAAATTAGTAAGTGGAAAAATCCACCCACCTTCGTGTTTCTGTGGACTTCTACAACATTGTTTTATTTATTTTTCTTGCTTTTGTCTGTTTTTCAATTTATATTGAGAACTAAATCAGGTTAATAAAACAGGCTGCAAATTACAGTGGTGCCTCGCACAACGAGTGCCTCACACAACGATGAATTCACACAACGATGCCTTTTTCTGTCAAATTTGCTGCCTCACACAGTGATGTTTCCTATGGGGGATTTTCACACAACGATCTCCCTTTTCGCTCCTGTAAAAGTGTCTTGCTATGTTTGGAAGCTGTTTTAAATGATTGCAATGGTTAGTCCACCTCCTGAAACCTACGCAAACTGATTTTGGTGTTGTTCTGACACTTCGTTAATTTATGATGATTTTTTGAATTTTCTCCATTGGAAACCATTGGATGGTCTGCCTAATGGTTTCCAATGGAAAAAACAAAAAATCATCATAAATTAACGAAGTGTCAGAACAACACCAAAATCAGTTTGCATAGGTTTCAGGAGGTGGACTAACCATTGCAATCATTTAAAACAGCTTCCAAACATAGCAAGACACTTTTACAGGAGCGAAAAAGGACTTCGCAAAGCCATTGGAATGTCTTGAGATAGCTTCAATACATTCCAATGAAGGAAACATTGTTTCACACAGCGATGTTTCCTATGGGGATTTTCACTCAGCGATGGCAATCCGTTCCAATTGGAACGGATTAACCGGTTTTCAATGCATTCCTATGAGAAATGGTGTTTCACAGAACGATGTTTCACACAACGTTGATTTTTTTTGGAACCAATTAACATCGTTGTGTGAGGCACCGCTGTACACACAATCTGCAGAAGAAATCAGAGCTGTCCACTTGTCCACAGTCTGCTTCCAAGAGCTTTTGCTTTATATCTTTAGCTATTTTATAAACATTACTAATGTGTTTATTTCCCTTATACCATAGATCATGGTAATGTCAGATGGAACATCAGCTGCCTCAGGGCAGAGTCTTCATCTCCCCAATCTTCCAAGTAATTCCCTGTCTTTTTCTGAAGTGAAGAAGAAGTCATCTCATGGGCCAAAGGTGAGGCATAATCTAGTATTAGAAAAGGAGGTAGAAAAGGAAGATCAGATGAGCTCAGACGGTATTGGTCGCCCTGCTTGGTGACTTATTGAGGGAAACTGATAGGGGCAAAATGTCCATGTTGGTTCTCCTTGATATCTCAGCTGCCTTTGATACCGTCGACCACGGTATCCTCCTGGGATGGCTTTCTGAGTTGGGGATTGGTGGCCTGGCTCTTCACTGGCTGTGGTCCTTCTTGAGGGACTGTTCCCAGAGAGTTTAGCTTGGAGAGAGTGTATTGGCCCTGTGGCTCCTTAATTGTGGGGTGCCGCAGGGCTCTATCATCTCTCCAATGCTGTTTAATATTTATAAGAGGCTGCTGGGTGGGGTCATCCGGGGGTGTGGGACTTTGTGTCATCAGTATGCTGATGACATGCAGCTCTACATCTCCTTTTTTCCAACAGCAGTGGATGCCATTGCGTCCCTTGAGCTCTGCCTTGAGGCAGTACTGCAATGGATGCAGGAGAATGGACTGAGGCTGAACCCGGACAAGATGGTGGTTTTGAGGGTGGGCGCCCCTCCTATCAGTGGTTTAGGAAGCTCCCTCTCTTTTGGGAGGCGACTTTCACCACAAAGAGTTTGGTCCGCAGTTTGGGGGGCCATCTTGATCCAGCACTTACCATGGAGTCCCAGGTAGTGCCTGTGGTCTGCACTGCCCACCTACATCTTTGGCGGATTGCCCAGCTACGCTCCTATCTTGATGTTGAGGCGCTCAACACTATCGTCCATGCACTCGTAATCTCGAGATTAGACTACTGTAATGCACTCTACGTGGGGCTGCCCTTGAGATTGAAGCGGAAACTACACATGGTCCAGAAAATGGCCACCAGATTATTAACTAGGGTGAAAAAATACCATCACATTTCCCCCACTTATAATGGTTGCTCATTCATTTCCACATTGACTTCAAGGTGTTAATGTTTACATATAAAGGCCTAAAGGGTTTAGGACCTCAATACCTGGCAGAGTGCCTGCTCCCACCTAGCTCTACCCGTGTCACTCCATCTAGCCAGGCTGGGCGGCTGAGGGGGCTTGACCCCAAGAGAGGCCCAGAAGGAGAAAACACCACATTCTCAGTGGTGGCCCCTCGCCTCTGGAATGCCTTGCCCCTGGAAATTTGCCTTGCACCCTTGCTGAGAGTTTTTAAGAACAAGCTGAAGATTTGGTCCTTCAGCCAGGCCTTCCCCCCTTCCATTTCTTAATTTCCTAAGTTTTACCATCTTGGTCTTTACTTATCTCTATGTTGTCTGATATTGTTCCTTTTAAATTTTGTTTTATATTCAGAATGTAAGCTGCCCAGATTCATTGATGGGCAGGGTAAAAGCTGGGTAGATAGATAGATAGATAGATAGATAGATAGATAGATAGATAGATAGATAGATAGATAGATAGATAGATAGATAGATAGATAGATAGATAGATAGATAGATAGATAGATAGAAGATAGATAGATAGATAGATAGATAGATAGATAGATAGATAGATAGATAGATAGATAGATAGATAGATAGATAGATAGATAGATAGAATTGCAAGGTAGATTTATAACTCATTTGAACATTTGAAGTTTCTTTGTGTGCATTTGCTTAAAACTGTAATGGTTTGTACCTGGATCTTTTAAGCCTTTTAGCAGATCCAAAACATGAATGTCTGTGAGGCAATCTCTTCCTTCTTGTTTGGAGGCTACACATAATTAGTGTACTTTCTGTGATTTCCCAAACAGAAACCTCCATACAAGAATAATTTGTGTTTACAACAGAGGAGTGCACAAAAGTTTCATTTTTCTTTCATTTTCCATCTTTTAAGTAACCCTTTGGTGCCCTTTCTTTCACCCTTTGACTGTCAAATTTCCTGTGAAATTTTTATCTAATACGGTTGTGAGGCTTTTAGCAGCCACTCAGAACATCCAGTAAGGAGCAGGGCTTTTGAATCTGTAAGAAGTCCTGGAACTTAGTGGGGAATCCTATTTGCTTCTTCTGTGGGTTTAATGTGTGCTGAGCAAATAGTGCCCTCCATCTCGAATTTCTGCCTGCCTGCTTTGCCTCCATCTTGTCTTTTTTGCCTTTGTTTCTTCATTTTGGGGGAAAAATTTACCCATATCTTCGGATATTTTTTGCTACTGACAGGCAGCCTACCTGTGCCAGCTTGCCTCTTTGGGAAAATGTTTTTGCCACCCTCTCCCTATGTTTTCAAGATTTTCTCTCTTTGTTTGTTTGGTCAGTCCTTTCCTTTCTTAAAGGGACGTGGTGGCGCAAAGGGACGTGGTGGCGCTGTGGGCTAAACTGCAGAAGCCTGTGCTGCAGGTTCAGAAGACTAGCAGTCGTAAGATTAAATCCACGCGATGGAGTGAGCTCCCGTCGCTTGTCCCAGCTCCCGCCAACCTAGCAGTTTGAAAGCATACAAATGCAAGTAGATCAATAGGGACCACCTCAGTGGGAAGGTAACAGCGTTCCGTGTCTAGGTCTCACTGGCCATGTGACCACAGAAGATTGTCTTCGGACAAAACGCTGGCTCTATGGCTTGGAAACGGGGATGAGCACCGCCCCCTAGAGTAGACTGGACAAAAATGGTCAAGGGGAACCTTTACCTTTACCTTCCTTTCTCAGTTTTGCTTCTGCCTGACTTGCCTGTTGCTGCCCACTGGACTGAAGGCTGGGTGCACACAGTAATACCAAAGGTTACTGAAAATATTGATAACTATATTTCTCATAATCCTCTCTGCCAGTTGCGGTACTTCCTAGGAGCCATCTCTGTGCATCTTGTTGAGTTTGGGGAGGAGTGCAACAAACTTTTGCAGTAGGTTCTAGGGCCCTGTTCTGTTCTGGATATCGTTATGATTATTCTGCTGACATCCCCCAAGACACTTTTCCCAAAATAGATGTGGATGGTTCTTCCTGATGATGGTGATCTGCTTCTTGAAAACTCACCTACACAATATAATTAAAATTGTATTCTTATAAGATATTTATTTATTTATTTAAAATATTTCTGTTCTTTCTCCTCAAAAGGACCCAAGGTGGTTAACAGCATTGAAACAAACAATGTCAAAAGCTAAAAATATATGTAAATAAGTTATTTACATTTTTAAATGAATTTTAAACAAACAAATTAAAAACTGAATGATAAAAGCAATTCAAAATAATTCTAAATGCATTTTTAAAAAGTCCATTTGTAAGAATGACTTTTTGAGCAGCAGTTACTGAGAGAAAAAATCTGCCTGAAAAGACTTTTCCTGTTTACAGACAGGACAGTGAAGAGGGAGCCAGTCTGGCCTCCTGTGAGAGAGAAATCCACAACTTGGAAGCAGCTACAGCGTCCCTTTCTCATTTCCTCACCAAATTCACCTAGGATGGTGGAAAGGTTCTGACGATTTTTTTAAAGAGGCAGCCTCATAAGGGGAGATGCAGTATTTTAGATATTTGTGGCATGCGTATACTTAACCAGCAATGTTCCTTTCCTGTAACTACTTTTTGTTTTTTGTTTTGTTATTTGTTTGGTTTGGTGAAACTGAATTTTTCTTTAAAGTCAGTGAGTTTGACAATGTAACATAATGTATGTACTGTATATAAAAGTCATGATGAGTCCTGTTAATCCTTTAAACATGAAATTCAATCTAGAAGACGCTAACCTTATGATTGTCATTAATTGCTGTCAGATACATTTGCTGCTGAACCCATTTATTACTAGAGTTTTTGATATCCATTATTTCCATAAAATCTTCCTGGAAAGAAATACTTTTGCCAATGTGATGTAGCATATAGCTTCTACAGTAGTAGTGTTGTTAATGTGATAAATAAGAAAAGATGGTTTGAGTAGTATCAATTTGTGTTTTTGTATGGCAAATATGAGTAAGGATTCTAGGGAAGTATGAATAGATTGTCAGAATAGATTGTTATATGGAAGGAGATTGGTTGAGAAAAGCAAAGCAAAGAGGAGTGGTAAAGATAGGAGTGATGTAGGATGAGAGAAGAACACTATTCAGCTATTTGGGGTAGGAATCCAGATGGGTAAACATGTAAACAGGGAAAGTGATTTAACTCTCCACACTCCCCCAAAATTTTGGACATTCAACAAATGTGGAGGGTGGCTTTCTGATAATCATAAGTTCTATTACCCATGAACCCTCTGTGTTAGATCAAGAACTCTGGAAGATCACTGTTCCAGTTATGTAGAGTGTGTTCATGGACAGTAGAATCTCTCTTCTTGAGAAAATTGTCCTTCATCTCTGCATGTTGACTAGATATAATGATGGAGGAAGTAAGTCTAGATCACTCTCACTGTTCATGGATTCCTACCAATTGAATAAGATTAGGGAGAACTAGAGTTAAGGGACTGAGATAGAAAGTTAGTACAGGGAAGAGAAAAACAATCAGTGGCATTGTGAGAAATTTTGTGTTGACTGGTAGCAAATGCAGGCAATAGAGTAGACATGTATGATAAGACTGAATGTTATAATTATATTGTGTTAAGCAGGTGCTGTTATACTCTGCAATTGCTTGTATAGCAGTAGTTAAAGAGAATTTTATACCAGCATTAACATTTCACATTTTCATTGTAAATAAGTATTATTTGTGGGTTTTTTTTTCATCTCATTTACTGCCATTCAAGGCCTCATCCTGAGTTTACTAGCTTTAGATCAAAAATTGAGGCCATTTGTGCCAACCTTGACTCCACCAGCAGTTTAGCTGATCTGGGGGTAACCACTGTAGCCACATCTCTCTCTGCCCAACTGGTTCAGTTTAACCCTGTAGCAATGGAAGAAATCCCAAGGATGCTTGCTAGCTCATCCTCGCTTGATCCTTGCCCCATGTGGCTGATAAGAGCCACTAAGGGGACTGTCATTGATTGGATCATGAATATTGTTAATTCATCACTAAGGGAAGATATTCTTCCCTCCCATCTAAAAGAAGCCATTGTCTGACCCATCAAATGTTAGTGATGGACAACCTTAACAACTTCTGTCTGTTTGCTAATATACCATTTCTGGGCAAGATGATCGAGAGGATGGTGGCAAATGAACTGCAAATATATCTGGAGGAGCAGGAGTGCCTTGGCACATTCCAGTCTAAATTCAGGCTGTGGCGAGGTACTGAGACGACAGCAGTCGCACTACAGGATGACTTTTTAAGGAGCAGATGTGTGCTGTTGGGACCCCTAGATCTCTCAGCAGGTTTTGATTCCATTGACTATGGTATCCTCCTGGACAGGTTCTTGGATATTGAGATCAGGGGCCTAGAATTGAGCTGCTTCCAATCCTTCCCTGAGGACTGTGTCCATAGAGTACAGCTAGGGGAAAAGATGTTGGCCCCTTGGACCCTAAGGTATGGGGTTCCTCGGGGGTCTGCATTATCCCCAGTGCTGTTTAACATCTATGTGAAGCCATTTGGGGAGGTCATCAGGAGATTTGGAGCAAGGTGTACACTGAGGACCGCAACTCTGTCTATTACCGCCTCTACAGTGGATGCTGCCTAGACACTCAGGTGCTGCCTGGCTTCAGTACTGGAATGGACAAGAGCTAACAGGCTCAAACTGAACCCAGACAAGACAGAGATTTTGTTCCCAGATTGGGGGGGGGGGCTCTGAAAAGTTGGTGGTTTGTCCTTAGGCTGAATGGCATGGTCCTTCCATTTAGGGGCCAAGTGTGTAATTTGGGTGCTCCTGGACCTGGATTTATCTTGAGAGTCCCAGGTTACAGCGGTATCCAGGTCAGCCTTTAACCAGTTCAGGTTAATTGTCCAACTGCGCCCCTACCTGGATGAGAGCTCCCTTAAAACTTTGGTGCAGGTCCTCGTCATCTGGATTGATTACTGCAATGCCCTCTACGTAGGGCTTCCCTTGGGCCTGATCTGGAGACTTCAATGGGCCCAGAATGTGGCTGCATCACCTCGGTTCTGGCTTGCCTTCACTGGTTGCCCGTTCTATTCTGGATCAGGTTCAAGGTTTTGATACGTACAAAGCCCTCCACGGCATGGATCCATGTTACTTCTTGATGCGTCTTTCCTTAATGTCATCTTCTTGACCCGCAAGATCATCCCAGTTGAGGCTCCTCCAGGTGGCCACCTCAAGGGAGGTCTACAAGCGGTAGGGCTTTCTTCATGGTGGCTCCAACCTTGTGGAACCAGCTGTCAGAAGAGCTCCACTTAGCTCCTTCACTGCTGACATTTAGAACGCAACTAAAGACTTGGCTTTACAGGGAAGCTTTCCACATCGAATCTGACTGATCACCTATTACTTTTTTCTTCTGCCTGATTTGGTTCCCATATGATTGTTTTGCACCATCTGGAGTTTTTCCTTTTTTTAATGGTTATTTCTATTGCTTCTCATGCTTTTATTTTTATTTATCCTCTGTTTTATATTTGTTGTAACCACCCAGAGTAGTACCTCAGCACTAATGGGAGCAGGAATGAATGAATTTGTATGAATTGTATTTCTTGTATGATTGAAGGAGTGTGCACCTGGGAAAATAGCTCTAGTGGGAGTCTACTGTTGAAGGGAAATTTTGAAGGTGGTTGCCTGAAATGATGAAAAGAGTGCAATAGTATTACTGAAGGGGAAGATGAATAAAGTGTAAGGGTAACAATCACGGGATTAGCAAATGACTATGTGTCATTTGCTGTATTTATACATTATTTTCATTGTATTTTTAGTTTTATGAGAGTTCATTCTCTAGGCTATCTTTTTATCCCACTAGGCCCATTGGTGACATACTTTTTTCTCAGTTTTCACAAGATATACAGTGGTGCCTCGCACAACGAGCGCCTCGTAGAGCGATGAATTCGCTCTACAAGGACGCTTTTGCGATCGCTAATGCAATCGCACAGCGATGGCCCCAATGGGCGAAAACCGCAGAGCGAAGGTTGGTAAGCGGTTTGCTTTTCGCGCTCTCCCCTTGCTTACCAAGGGCGCGAAAACGCTGCGCCCGGCCCTTTTGGCTGTTCCGGCGGCCATTTTGAAGCCGCGGAACAGCTGATCGCAGCCATTTTCGTGCCCTCGTTCAGCGAGGGGAGGGCGCGAAAATGGCTGCCGGACCCCGGAAGCATCGCTGAACGGTGAGTTTTTAGCCGATTTGGAACGCATTAGACGATGTTTAATGCGTTTCAATGGGCTTTTCTGCCCCACTCAGCGATGGGCACCACTGTACTGAAATAGAGACCGTGGAGTGCCAGAATACCAGTGTGTGGTAGTATATGTTAACCCCATGTTAACTTTGCAATTTCCATTGTTGCAGGACCCAAGTAAAAGTGTAAGCACTAGCAGCAGCAGTAGTAACAGTTTTTCAAAACCCCATAAATTGACAAAGGAGCACAAGGAGAAACCTTCTAAAGACTTGAAAGAGCATAAAAGTGCCTTCAAAGAACCTTCCAGGGAACATAACAAATCTTCCAAAGAATCCTCTAAAAAACCCAAAGAAAATAAACCTCTAAAGGATGAAAAAATTGTTCCTAAAATGGCCTTCAAGGAACCCAAACCTATGTCAAAGGAGTCAAAATCTGAAAACAACATACTTACCATAACAGGTGGACAGCAACAAGAAAAGAAGGCCCCTACAAAAAGGCCTCCTGGTATGGATTCTGAGGAACTGGTGGCCAAAAAGAAGAAGAAAAGTGGCTCGGAGACTTTATTTAAAAGTTTTTCTCATACTTCCTCACTGATACTTAGTTGTTCTACTGCTGACAAAAAACAGACAAAGGATAAGTCCCAGTTTAAAACAGGGAAATTCAAAATGGAAAGTGAGCCACTAGAGAAGAAACATATATTACCGCCATTTGATGATATTGTGGACCCTAATGATTCCGATATGGAGAATATGTCATCGAAATCTGAAGTAAGTCTTTTTATTCTACTTGGGTTTTTTAACCCGTTTATGCAATACAGTGCTGTGCTTATCTTCTTAAAATAATTGTAATGTTTAAATATGCATGTGCATATATTTTGTTGTGCAAAATCTTGAAAATTGGCTGCAGCTACTTGCATTTTTAAATGTTTTGGTTGGTTGGTTTATTCCTAATCATCTAGGAAATTACATCAGATTGCTGTTGCTTTATTAGTTAATTGAACAAGAATGTGTGTTAATGGCAGTCTTTCATTATGATTGCCTCTCCTTCCTAGATCATTTCAAGCTTGATTCATACAGTCATTTTCATGGTCTCCAGGTAGTATTAACCTAAATGTGTAAACTATGTCCATTGAACAATGTTTTGCATTGGCTTGGCACTAGATGAATTTCTGCTAATGATGATTAAGCTGTGTCAAGAGAGCATAGTTGTATTTAAGCATCCAGATTTCTGATGGGGAAGAACAGAGACATTGACAATAGTTCCACTGCCCTCTATTGCCATTTTTATCTTTCACCAGTTTGAGGTGCATTATCTGTAGCAGGAAACTTTGTGTGTGATTTGGAGCTTGAATGCTAGCATTATTGAGTGAGGGCAACCTCATATAGTATATTGCAAGTTGAAAATGTAAACTTGTGAAGGTATTTTTATGTGTCATTAAAAACAAGTGTTTATAGAATACATAAATTTGATGGGTAAGATACTGAAAAGCAGAAATAGGGTGGGGGGCGGAGAACAGATCATCTTTTTGGATATCATATGTGCTGTTTCAAGACGTGGTCCTTGTCAGACCAAAGAAAGGACTTTGATAAATGCGCCTCAGAGGTTAAGGTACATGTGTCAACAGTATTTCTATTTATTTATCTATTTAAAATATTTTTACCCTGCTTTTCTCCTCGAAAGGATCCAAGGCCTTTTTAAAAGAGGGGAGATGAAATGTACACAGTCAGTTATAGGTAAGGGTTGAAAAAATTATAGCAGACCAAAATTAGATAGATAAGTAAATATTAGTATAATTAGTCTGATTAGAGATGGAAAATAAAACATTACTGTTAACTTTTTTCCCTTCTGTCATTTGAAACCAGTAGAGTTGCTGATTCAGTCTTCCAAAATTGCTTTTACCACAAGAACATGGTTCTTTCTTGCTGGGCTTATCAAAGTATGCTGTGATATGAAATATGTTGTTTTGACTTGTGGTGATCAGTGTTTATGTTAGTGAAATAGGGTCTTGGCACCCTTTTGTGTCATTGCGGGGGGCAGTGTCATTGTGTCGTTATGATTAAACAGGTTTTGATCATATGTAACATAGCATTTCTTGTCATCACCTTTTTAAACTCTGCTTCTCCTTTGCTTTTACTTAATGTGTTTTCCACTTTTGTTATGGTTTTCTCTTGGAGCAGACTTTGTTCCTCCACTTTTCTTAGTTCTCAGTTGTTAGTATTATTGTGGTAAGTTGTGTCCAAATGGTCACCAAAGGTGGAGTAGTCTTTATAAACTAGCAGCAATGCAATCCATAATGAGGCATTGCGAGAACATGCCTCCAGAGTTCTGTGGATGGGACAATGATAATCTATCACTTTACATTTCTGCAGGGCATTTCCCCCTTCCCCTCCAGCCTCTCATTCTTTGCATGTATGTTATGAAGTTACAGTGAGAATCAGCAGAGGGTGAAAATCCAGATTATGTGTGTCTGTTCAAAAGGAAGACTGAATGGCCAAAGTAACCCTGTACAAGGAGTAACCATGAGCAGCATGTTCTGAAATCCAAAATCACCAGGGAAATGAGGCTGCCTAGAAGAAAGGACCTTGGAAGATCAAAAGTGAGGGACACTTTCCTCAGACAGAGAGCCCAGATCAGCAGATTCCAGCTAAGGAGAGAGGTCAGGGTCTTAGTCTTAATCTGAGGAAGGGCCTGTTTGGAAGAGGGTAACTAAAAAGGGTTCCCTTCTTGCTTTGTTGGGAATGTCACAAATAACAAAGTTCCTGCATTAATCCTCCCTATATAACTAGCAGTACTTGTAATTATTATTGCTGTTCATCATTATTGCTGTTAATCTGTAATGAGTACCTTCAGGTCAAGATTACTCATTTGGATGGCTGTTGAGACCAAATATAGCCCTATGTGGCATAAAGACAATGCTGAGTACACAGTTGAAGTGCTAGTATGCCTTCAGTTTTGCTGCACATATGCCTCCAGCAAAGGCCTTAGGGGAGATGGAAGAGGAGGAGGATAAACCAGGGGAAGCCTAGTTTGTGCACAGCTCTGCTCTTTTTCGCATGTACATCTTGTGCCTTGTATGTGTGATGAGATCAGGAAAGGAGGGATTAATTATGGTGTTACAGTAGCCAAGGGGAAACAGAAGCAGGAAGATTCACACACACACACACTTATACTCAAGGCCAACAACTGGGCATTTGCGCAAGTGAAAGTGTGCAGGCAGATCTCTGCTCCTCGGACTCCCATTAAGATGACAACCTACTCCTGTTAATAGTTGCATTACAGTGGTGCCTCAGTTTACGAACTTAATCTGTTCCAGAAGATGGTCGTAACTTGAATTGGTCATAAGTCAAAGCACCATTTCCCATAGGAATGCATTGAAACCCCATTAATCCGTTGTGGCCAGAAAAAAAAAATCACACAAAAAACCTCAACAACACTGCAAGCCCCATCGGAACACATTCGGGACAGAAAAAAACCACACCAGAAAACAAAACAGCACTGGAAAAAAAATAACCAAAAAACAAAACAAAACAAAAAATCACAGCACAGAAACATAAGTCCCCCAGTCCAAACCCACGCTACAAAACCCTGTATGTACTCACTTAAAAGCAGAAAGCAGCACCAGGCAGTCCGAAGCCTCTCTGCAAACGTGCACACACTAACCTTTGGGCCAAAAGAGCTACAAAGAAGCAGCCTTTTTGCCTACAAACGGTTAGGAATTTAAATTCCCCGCCTTTCCTCCCACCTTTTTTCTGATTGTAACTCAAAGCTCTGGTCACAAGATGAAGCAAAATTGTGCTGCCGTAGCTGGTCGTAACTCGAATTGGTTGTAAGTTGGCACGGTCGTAAGTCAAGGCACCACTGTATCTAACTGAGGGAGATGCTTGTTAGATGTAAAGATCAGATTTGAAACATAAAACCAGTCTTTAAATCTAAACAATACAATGGACTTGTGAAGTTGTTAATTGCCACCTTTTCCTGAACTTAGTATCACATATTTCTTTATGATCATCATGAGCAAAACTTATTTGTAAAATGAATTTACGTTCTCTTGTGAAGCATAATTGCTTGTTTATTTTATTTTTATTTATTTAAAATATTTCTATGCCACCTTTTCCCCCAAAAGGACCCAACGCATAACTTATGTAGCTTTGTGTGACATTTTAAAAAGCTATGTACAATATGTATTTCTTCACCTTAACTTTCCATAAATTGTAGCAAGCAAATAAGAATATCTAAACCAAAGTCTGTGTTGTATTGTGCCATTGTGCATCACTTTTCAGACAGTATTTTTTGTTGTTTGGTGTTGTTGTTTTTAAAGTAATTACTGAAGAGGCTACAAGGGATCGTAAATGTTATTGTGGTGATGTTCATTCTGAACTTCAAGTATATATCTCACCTAGAGATAATTAAAGCAATAAATAGCTTAGCAATTTAATTTTGGGCATGTCTATTGAGATGTAAGTTCTGTTCAGTTCAGTTCAGTTTACTGAATATAAATATGCAACCTCAGTGTCTGAACAATTTCAGGTCACATGCCTACCTTATTAGCTGAATATGTTTTGCTGTCCAGCTAAATAATGTTCCTACACTGCCTCCACTACTATTGATATTTATTTTCAAGTAATATCATAGAATCATAGAATAATAACGTTTGAAGGGGCCTATGAGGCCATCAAGTCCAACCCCCTGCTCAATACGGGAATACAAATCAAAGGATATCTGCCAGGTGGTTGTCTAAATTTCTCTTGAATGTCTCCAGTGTTAGAGAACTCACCACCTCTCGAGGTTATTGATTCCATTGCTGTACTGCTCCAACAGTTAGAATTTTCCCTGGGATTGATGTCAGGCGGTCTGTAGTTCTCAGGTTTCTCCTTTTTGCAGATAGGGACAACATTAGCCCTCCTCCAATCATCTGGCACCTCTCCCATTTCCTATGATTTAAAGAAAATAAGGGATAGTGGTTTTGAGAGCTCTTCAGCCAACTCCTTCAAATACTCTTGGGTACAGTTCATCCGGTCCTGGAGATTTGAACTAATTTAAGGTAGTAAGGTATTTTCTGACTTTTTTTTTTCAATCTCCAGCTGAACTCTTGTCCACTGCATCTCCACTTCACTTTTCTCTAGGAATTGAGCACCTCTGTCTTTTTCCCCCTTTGCTTATCATTTTTCCATCTCCATTGAGTAGCTGAGCCACTGTTTCTTCTATGTCTTTCGCTATGCACAAACCTGAAGAATGCTTTTGCATTAGAGTCTCTAGCACACTGTTAAGGTGCTACACTCAACATGCCAGCAAATTTGGAAAACTCCGCAGTGGCCAGAGGATTGGAAAAGATCAGTCTACAGCCCAATCCCTAATAAGGGCAGTGCCAAAGAATGCTCTAACTACCACACAATTGCACTCATTTCACACACTAGCAAGGTTATGCTCAAAATCCTACAAGCTAGGCTTCAGCAGTATGTGGACCGAGAACTCCCAGAAGTACAAGCTGGATTCTGAAGGGGCAGAGGAACTAGAGACCAAATTGCAAACATGCGCTGGATTATGGAGAAAGCCAGAGAGTTCCAGAAAAGCATCTACTTCTGCTTCATTGACTATGCAAAAGCCTTTGACTGTGTGGACCACAGCAAAATATGGCAAGTTCTTAAAAAAATGGGAGTGCCTGATCACCTTATCTACCTCCTGAAAATTCTATATGTGAGACAGGAAGCAACAGTTAGAACTGGATAAGGAACAACTGATTGGTTCAAAATTGAGAAAGGAGTATATT